ATATCAAATTCAATACATATACCGTCAAAAAGACACTATTGAGTAAAAATGCCTTAGACACTAACTCACGTTTCATCAAACACAGAAGAAGAAGATATGTAACAGATTCACAAGGAACGTTTCTATGCTTTTTTTTTACCGGTTTGTTTCAGGTATTTTCAAGTATTCTTAAAATAGAGTGTAAAAAATAGAGACTCTTATAGCACATTCACACTGTCTCGTTTAGGTGGTATTGCATATTATAGCCACTAATGAGAATAATTTAACACACAAAGTACTTTCATATAAATGAGCTCATTATTAATAAATCAGCTCATTTAAAGCGAAAAATGTCGAATGCAACCCTTAAAGATAAATTTCCCACAAAAGAAATGATCAAAATTTGTAATACCTATGTGTCATATGTTCTATATGTAAAATGTAAACAAATAATTCAAACTAGTGCTGTAAACAAAGGCACTGAGGAAGTAAGTATTTAATAAAATCTTTGTTCTTATTAATTGAACATGTAATTGATATATGAAATGTATATAAATGATTTCAATTATTCATTTCATTTTTTTATATGATATATTATTAAGTGAAGTTTATAAAAGTCATATCAGCTCCATAAGTGAGCCTATTATAATGTGAACGTTCACTTAATAGTATAAATAAGGAAGTAGCAATTTTGTATAATTGCTACTTATAGCAATAAATATAAATATATAAATAAAATAATAAATAAAATAGTATATTATTTAAAAAATATTTAAGGAACGCATTTAAAGCCTTTGCTAAGAACTGCAGACGATGTAGCTCTTATGTATAGGACACCGTCTCTATGCTTGACTGTCAGAGTTAGCGAAAACTGACTGATCAGATTTTCTGAACGTTATCCGGACAATTAAATGGTTTAACAAATATAACATGAGGAGCTATTTTGGAAATAATGATTATTACAGCTCTTCGCCCTCTGAAAATGTTAAAGCCATCACAATCAAATTTTTATTTTAAAACTAAATTAAAACTATATTTTCTAATTCATTTTCTAAATTTATTTTATATGAATTCATCCAGATCAAATGTGTTTCTGCATCTGGATTCATATAAAGTTGCTACATTTTTCTTTGATTAAATTGATTTACTAATTAGAAGACATACCTGTAGGTGCACATAGTTAGATTAATTTATCTCACACTCTTCACATAAAAAATATATTTTCTTCACCTAACTTTCTTCAAAACCACCTAACTTAGTTGAATGTATATGCCTTGCACACAAATCTTTTGGGTTTGTTTTAAATATAAACAAATTAAATTTAGTTAATATATTTGAATTATGTTATATTAGATATTTTTAAAGTAAATATATTATTGCAATTGTATCCATTAAAGTGCATCTTAAATACCACGGCTTACGGCCTTAACTGACCGGATCAGGTTGACAATCTTTAAATTAAAATATTTAAATATTTAGGTTCTTGAAATGTTTAAAAATATAATAGTAAACCTGCTGGTATGTTGAATTTATCAAGTGGTTCCACATAACGCTTCTTTCTTGTATGTGTATCTACCATAGTAGCACTTCCAACATCCTTTTCGAGTACTTCATTCTTAGTTGGTGGATTCTAAACAGTTAAATATATATTGAGATTTAATTAGTATAGCTAGTATGTAACTCACAGTAACTGGTGCTGGCGTTTGATTCCCTACTTCGTCTGGGGTAACTGGAGCTGACGTTTGTTTCCCTACTTCGTCTGCGGTAACTGGAGCTGACGTTTGTTTTCCTACTTCGTCTGCAGCAGCTGGTGCTGGAGTTTGTGTCCCTACTTCATCTCCGGCAACTGGTGCTGGAGTTTGTGTCCCTACTTCGTCTCCGGCAACTGGTGCTGGCGTTGGCTTCTCTTCTTTGTCTGCGGCAACTGGTGCTGACGTTGGTTTCTCTTCTTTGTCTCCGGCAACTGGTGCTGGCGTTGGTTTCTCTGCCTTGTCTCCGGCAACTGGTGTTGGCGTTGGTTTCTCTTCCTTGTCTCCGGCAACTGGTGCTGGCTTTTGTGCCACTATTGTGTCAACCCAATGCTATATTACATTAATATTTTTAAAATATTTCTCACTGAAAGGAACAAATTTGTACCTACCGGAAAATCGAACTGCAAGGTCTTAAAAGAAAATTAAAGTTATTAAAAAAGTAAAATTTGTTTAATAATTAATAAAACAAATATCTTTAAGTTATAAAAGTATTTAATATATAATATTTAAATATTAAAAATTATTACTTACCCCTGGGTAATATTGAAAACCCTTTAAGAAAAATAAACAATAACAATTATTATAAAAGAACATAACATCAAAATTTTATATAGCTTAAATATATTAATAAATATATGAAATAAATGTCACGAGCTTACAAAATCTTTTAAATTAATTTCGAAAACATTAAAACATATTATTACATCTTTCCAAATATGTTTTAAACTATGGGTTATTGTTTTTTTTTTTGTTTTTTTTGTTTTATTTGTTATTTATTATATCTATGGTATAAACCTACAGTCCTATAATAGCCATTGACCAATCCTAACGCTCCGATTAGGAACAAAATAATATTTGCTCTCATTTTAAAATTAGTACTACCAAATCACTTCAAATGAACCCTACTTTTATATAAAAAATGCTGAACACTTATTTTTTATTTAAGTTCTATAATAAAAATATATTTCTTATCTTTAAAGCCCATTTCCAAAATAACGACTTTAATTTATTTCTGAACTTTAATATTATTAATTCGTGCTTGATTTTATCTGACTGTCTTAGAAACACTGTTATGTGTTTAAATATTTTTAATACTTCCCTTTTATTTATTGCACTTTATTTACTGCACTTTATTTTTTGCACTTTATTTATTGCATTTTTTTTATTGTACAATATTGCATTTTGTATGAATTCTGACTTTTTTCCATGTAATATATGAGATAGTCTCAGTATTTGTAAGATATTATATGTTAAACCATCTACCTTGTGCATTAGTATATTTAATACTACAATACTGAACCATATATTTAAGACCCGCAAATATTTAACTTAAAATATTGAAAAATATATTTTAAAAACATCGAATGAAAACATCATTTGGAGAGATGATTTAATCTGGACTCAAGCTAAAGATCGCTACTATATGCCACTAGTTAAAGCCCTGTTATTGGTAAGACGCTTACAGATTCCATTAAGGATTTGATATATCAAGTTATCATATAACTACATAACAATACAACTGTTGACCAAATGTGATATAGTGTATTTGTTTTTATATACAGTAAGGTTTACCATTGTAGTTCGAGCACTAACTGGAGCACGTACTTTGAAAAATGGACTTTGGAAAAGTTGCAATAAAGAAGAGACAGAATTCATTAATCACTTTCTATGTCTTTGTCCAGAACTTCGGAAGTATGAACTTCAATATCTTCAAGAACTTTTCTTCACTTACCTAGCTGATATAATGGAAGCGGATTTATGGGATTTGCTTAGTTTATCTGGAAGACAAAAATGATTTGACAACGTTAATGCAGATAAATGATAACAGTTAGTATCGGGTGTTTTTTAGTGGCATGATTACTTAAAATGACAATACAAGACAGAAATATTATAGGAATGAAATTATTTTTATTATAATCTGATAGATAATTTCATTTATTTTTTGGATATGATTTCTAGCACATATCTGCCGCGTCTACAAATTACATGGTCCATTCTATTAGTCAAATTTTTGACTTTTTTTACAATAAATGCAGTCATATGGCTTCAATGGTGGCATGAACAGTGGCTTCTAATGCTTCAAGAATTGCTGGTTTGTCGGCATAAATCAATGAGTTACCATATCCCCATAAAAAGTAATCAAGAGAAAATGTCAACTTAACTTGACATTTTCAGCTGTCAAACATAGTTATCGATATCGATCATTTTTGTGCACATACACCCGATATAACTCGTTCCTCCCACAAAACTCAAAAGGCATGAGTTATAGATATCTCCAAATGAAAGTGCTAATAGTTTAGTCAGAGCTCTTACAACCTAACTTATCTTGATTTATTGATTTATTTTGCTATGATCCTGAGATTCCGTATCTAAAGAAAATATATTGGAACCCAACTGTTTAAGTAATTTTAAAAGAGAAAATAAAAATTTTATTTCGAGTACTTAATTAATCCAAACAACACTATTTGGTTGCAAATAAATACTTCCATATCATGGAAATATTCCATTTTTAAATACTTTTAAAATCAATTTTTAAAAAATAAAGGTCCCTAATCAGTATCTGGTAAACCTTAAAGAACTGTTTAGTTTTTGTTATACAAATGACACATATTTACAATTTTTAAAAGGGAAAACTTTATTTCATTTAGCGATAATATACAATCATTTTATAATAAATAATTTTTATTTTAATTTAAAACTTCACTGACATCATTGTTATCGGCATTTAAAGCTGAATACAAACTTTGGGATGCATCTGAAAACGTTTTCAATAAAAGTTATATTAAAATATATTATAAATTCAATTTTAATTAATAAATTGTAAGATGATGAGGAAAACATTTTAGTTAATAAATAATTTTGAAAACTAAATTAGTACTAAAAGCAGTTTTGCTACAACAAAATGTCAAAGATCTTATTTTCTAATCATCCAAAACAATCTTTTATTACAAAATCAAAGTTAGATGGAGACTGCCAAGTGGAAATTACAACATTAACTTAATGCTATCTTTACAATTTGGGTTCCAGGACCTTGTTTTATTAAAGGGAATAAAAGAAAGAGAATTGTGCAAGTCTCCATGTTCCTATGGATGTCTCTCTATGTTCCTCAGGAGATCATTAATCACAAACCTCTACTTACTACAGTTTTCTAACAATAGCGAGATTCACTTATGACATGTTTAACTATCTATGTAATTAACCTTGTCTTAACAAGACCAGATTAGTGAAGTTATCTAACAGGCAAAGAAACTACATATTTCTTTGATAACTCATTGCAAATATTGGTGAAAATTAAAAGAAAGAAAAACAAGTAATCCTACTGTGACTACTCAGCTTTGGCTTCCAGCAGAAGCAAGTTTTTGAAAACGCACATCTTTAAGAGTTTTTTGGACTTTCAGTCCAAAAGATCAGTTAACATTAGGACGGGTTATAATAATCCTGCGGTCTGAGGAAGAAATCAAACAAACGCCGAAATGTTGATGATAGATATAGAGACTAATATAGTATATAAAAATAAAAACAAGAATGAAAGCTGATCTATAAACTTTTATTTTTTTTTTTACCTTATAAAAAACATAATGCGAGCATAATGTACTTGACAGAAGGTGATGATTATCCTAAGACTATATTGAAATCAGTAAGACAATATAAGTTGCTTTAATTTATTAGTAAAAATAAATTCTACTCCATATGTGTGATATAAGTGTTTAAAGCATGGTGTGGATAACTGTGTTTAAATGGACATAAAAATATCAATTCTTAAATATATGGGAAAATTTTTGAAATATTGTGAGTCGAAGCTCTAACCTTAAGCGAACACTCTAGAAGTATATTATGATTATTCTCCTATGTGATAAGAAAAGGAATCATGTTTCAACCAGGATATATATTTTCAATTAGAAAATATTATTTTAATTCGATATGCAATACTATGCAAACAATAATTTTTTAATATATTATTAATATATTAATATATTTATATGAAATTCTGTAAAAATCCCAAACATGAAAATCGTACTTTAAAATTTTCAATTTTATCAACATTTAATAAGAATAGTAATTAGAAAATAGAGATATATAACATTTCCTTAAATTACATATTATGTATATTTGTATTATGAGATATTCTAATATTGCAAAAAAAATAAATTCTTTGAATTTTTAAATTTTTTAAAACAAATTATTTAGAAACTTAAGAACCAGGATAATTGAATAATAATTTTTTGAAAAATATTTGTCCTAATGTTAAGTCGAAACAGTAAGCTTACAATTACCAGCACATTCTAATGATTTCTATTGAACTCATAAAACACTATGAATCTATAAAAAGTATATTAAGAAAAATTTACTTACCAGCTCCACCGAATGTCATTATATTCGAAGCCAGATTTTTAATGGTTTGCTCCAAAGCAGCAAATTGAGCTGACTCCTCATTGGGTCTTGGATAAGCCAACTATAAATGAATTTAGATATTATTTTGTGTTAATTTTACTATTAATATTTTTTATTATTTTATTTCATAATAATAAAATTCCATATATGTGTTGTTCTTCTTTTAACTTACCGCGACTCCAATTATTAATATAAAACACAAAAATTTTGCGAAATTCCGTAACATTTTTATTATTTATTTGGAAAATATTTTATTTCCTAAATTGAAATTTTTCTCTAGAGTGACGTTCTTTTATAGGTTTTTTCCAAAAAAATTGAATAATTTACTGATTTTAATCTAAATATTGTTTTGGAAGTTTATTTATTTTTCAGTGCAATATTTTCACGGCACATTAAACATGACTCTGAAAGTTCATCTAATAAATTACTCATATTTCTCTAAATATTACTGGAATTACAAAAAAATTTTATATTGCTAACATTATTTTGATCTATTGATCGAAGATTCAAAAGCATGCGATTTAAATATTTTATCATAACAACCTTGATATTGCCATTTAAAAGTTTTAATAACTAATATCAATTTTATGCATAACTAAAAAGTTATGTATAATGATAAAAAATTTATAATTATAACCATATATTATTATCACTGGACATTGTCTAATAGGTCGTCATGCTTATAGAAAGGATATTACAACCAATGACTTCTTCAAAAGTTGCGGTGGTAACTATTCACAGTATACCATCAACTTCTCTATTTCTATTGAACGCATAATTACAAAATTTTGAAAATGTCGGGTTGTTATTAGCTGGACTACGTCTCATGTATTTTCAGCGTTTCTTCACCAAAACCCTTGAGGTTGGTTATAGTAACACAAAGGCTCAACGAGACTTTAAAGACTAGGGGTCCTAATTGATTAATGGATGATGTGGTATAACAAGATTTGCCTTATGGTGTAAACTATGAACTTAACATTCTTACACACGTTACATAAAAAATTTCATAAATATTTTAAAATTTAATTAATGTTATTATCAATGACTTATCAAACAACCTTCATTTTAAGAAAGATTTTAATATCTCCCGGAATTATTATAAGAAAAGTGTTTACTTTTGTTAGCATCATAAAAATATTGTAAAATTATCCATCTTTTAAGTTGGGATATTTAACCGGTTCCATGGACTGCGTTATTATCTTAACCAAATGGGTTTGTCCGAAGAGACAGACTGTCGACTCTGCCTGCAGGCAGACGAGACTTCCAACATTCTCTGTGACTACCCAGTCTTGATCTGGGCCAGAAGGAGGTGACTGGGCTGGAAACTACTCTCCCCTTCTGACATTAGAAGGTCCTCAACGGCTGACACTCTGGCTTTTTTTCAAAGAGCGGAAAATTTTCTGTACGGTTATGGTCTGTTGCAATATAAAAGATCAACTATAGTCGCAGCGTTCCACTCCTTTGGGAGCTGGTACCCTGTTTATTT